AGGAGCTTGACGAATCAGTCTATAGAGATGGCATTAATAGACTGGAACACCGCTATGAGAAATGTATCAGCCTTGGAGGAGATTATGTTGAGAAATAAAAAAAAAAAATTTTTAAAAACCTTGTTTTTCTTGGTCAGGCCGGAAACTTATCAATCCACCCTCGTACATACGTATTTCTTATTAAGTGTCTGTTTTGATCATTTGGAATAAGAAATACTACAAATATTATAAAGTGCATTTAATGTTTCTACTCTTTGTTATATTTTATTTTAAAATTTAAAGTTATTGTTTTTACGTATTACTGAATAGTTCCAAAAAAAAAGAGAGATTGTAGATAGGTACTTAATTGAAAATTCAAAATGTTGCTGCGATACATAATAATTTTCAGCGACGATATTTAATATAAGTAATTCACATGTTATCAATTTTTTTACGTGAAGATACTATCATGTATTATTGCAATATCAGTTTGTAGTGATTTACTCCTTTTTTTAAGCAACGATTTATTATGATTATGACACTAAGTTATCATATTCAATATACGTATACAGAAATCCACTTTCTAGGCCAATGGTAATGTCCTGGCAGTGTAATTAATTAATTCTATTTAATTATACGGTAATGTTAATCAATATATACGTATTACAGCATTATTTCCTAATTTGTAGCTTTTTATGTTTTAGAACGTAACAAAATAATAAGCTGAAACTTACGTTATAACGAATGCAGTAACGGTTTTGTATGTCATGTAGCCTCTAATGTTTGCAAATTGGCAATTATGGCATTACGAATTATAATATAATTAGTTGAAAATCATTCAAGTCATTCCAATAAGCAACGATTGGTTACAATATTTAGGGACATATATGTTGCAGTTTCACTGGAGTGTTAAATATTGCCTTTGACGACGTTTAGTTATATTTTTAAGGGAAAATATTTCCGCAATCTAAGAAAAATTGTTTCACTCGTGAACACTTTAGTTGTTGGTTTACGGTATTATGGTATTGATACACAGTATTTAATGTGTACCACACGCAAGTGCTATCTAATTAAAAACTAAAAATTACAATACGTATAATTACTAATTTCTACATTCAAAATACTATTACATAATCTATTCGTTTGAAGGTTGCGGTAGATGTATTTCACAAAAGGCAATGCATGTCTTCTACTACTGCAATCTTTTCCTAAGCATATCCATCGAGCTAGACATTTGGACTAACCTAACCTAGCCTTTTATGATACCAATCAATCAAGTTAACGTATTATTCGGTAAGGCTAGGTTAGGTTACAGTAGGAAAAGACAGCACAAACAAAGGTCATGGCAATGCAACCCAAAAAAATCTTATTTTGGTTGGTTGACTATGGATTCGGTTTTGTTGTATTACTTAGGTACTGTTTGTCAAAACTCAAAGACTATGTGAACATTTAGTAAACAATTAACGATGATTTTTATGATTACAGTGTGAAAAAAGGTTTTCTTACAGAATATTGTTACAATAGGTGTGCTCGCGACTTTTAGATTTGTTTAGATCCCAATATCGGTATCGTACGTACGGAACCGTTTAAAATATCAGCATGAAACAGAAATTAAGTTATTTGTATCGTTGAATAACTACTGTAGATGTTCTATATCTACAGTATTCGTTTTCATAACAATAGCTTCAGCAGTTTTAGAGTTGAATCCCTTCTTCTTTAGGCAAGCAATTTTTTTAATATTAGATTCGTTTTCGACATACGTAAACTGCATCTTATGATTATCATGTGATATTTTCGTGTCTCATGTTCTCTATTCATTCGCACTTGCTACACAAAATGAGTAGTAACATATCTGTATTATGTAATAACAGTTATCTTGACAATATACGTTAAAAATACATTTCTTCTATACGCGCCAACTTTTAATCATCCTCTCCCACATAAAAAATTCAGTGAAATTACGAAAAATTTAAAAAGACGAGGTGAAATGCGTTAATGTTTGTTATGTAAATATAGTTATTATTAATCTGGTGCTGTAGTAGATCAATGTTTAAATAGAAATTAATGATCGCGGAACGCACTCGAATCGTTTTTTGACCGTATAGTGTAAAGTATAGACTTTGTCATCTCGTTTTATTTTCGCATGTTGGCTTATTGAGAAAATTTTAGCAAATGTATACGTGACTGAAGTCACGGGTTTACGAACATTCCTATACCCATCATTGCGCCCCTTTGCTCAGAATTTGCGTCACATAAACACAGGTCAGGTTAATCTATTGATTGACGTATGTATGTATGTATAATAATGAAGCATTGTTTTAATTTTTTTTTCAGACTGCTTATCAATTAATAATAATAATAAATATAAAAATAATAAGGCTTATGTTAACCATTACAATGTATATAATTCAACACCTGTAGTGTACAGTTTCTAAGAAATCACCTGAAAATGTTGTTAACAGTAAAACTGAATGGATAATAAATTAATTAGTCATTACTTCAATTTTAGTTCTAAGGACAGTAAAACTCGGTTTTAACGTACTCGGAGAACTTGAAAATCGATGGATTTGTGCATTATATCGAACGCTGTTACAGAAAAAGGACTTTTTTTCTATTAATCTTATTATTAGTCCAGTGAAATGAGGAAAATGACTGAAGAGTACCTTATAATGGAGAAAATGATTGAAACACGGGTCATTTTATCGGCCTCAAAATTCGCAGAAATTTTTAAAAAATTCAAAATAATTATTAAAAATTTAAAATTGATAATTTAATCCTTTCCCTTTAGTTATCACGTAGTAATTCATAAATGCGGTTTTAAAACATTTTTTACAAACAAAGAGTTTTCAATATAGCTAGAAAAAGCGCGAATTTTCCCTAGAGAATATTGACTACTATTAATGAAAACCTAAGCCCTCCCATCGCCCCTGTGGTCAAGCATGGTATTTTTGATGACGAGTTACGTAGTATGAGTACGTTCCCTAAGTTGATAATAGAAAAAATTGGAAATAATAAAGGTAACAATAAATTGACGTTCGTGAATCTTTGGTATTAGTATTTTCAAAACTACCCCCTTCCCCCCTTCTCGCCCTGGTATCCCCTTGGTACGTCTGTGAATTTATTTAAACATTACTAAATTTTATTTTAAGAATATTTTATCGTCATAAGTATATTATAACAGCATAATCCGTTTCCGAAATGGTAGATAAAAGCACAATGTAAAATTATGTAATCGTTTTCAATTGTATCATATGAAAGTTACACATGAAAGAAAATGGAAAAAATCCGGATATTTTCTAGTACTTGCTTCTTCATAAAACGTCGCTGAGAATATAAAATTATTAGCAGCACAATTAGAAAACAAAACTAAGTAAAAACATCATTCAGTTTAACTTTCACTTACTAACAACCCATAAAGCTTTTCTTACTGTACATGAACGAGTGGAAAAAGTATGTAGAGGTACATATAACACAATGTACAATTGTTAACTCAAAGGTGCAATAACAGCATGCTTTATTCTTACTTTCTTGCCTATTAAACATAACACCTAGGTACCTACATGCTTTAAAAAAATAAACGAAATGTTATTGTACCCGACAGGGTTAATGCTGGGTCCTCAGTTACCCGATTTCTGGCAAAACCACTTTCTAGTTTCGAATAAAAAAATTAAAGTCAGACTGTTTTTTTTATTTTCGCATTTCCTTAAAACTAGAACATCCCACATTCTTATTGCGAACAGTAATCTAATCTAGGTCGATCCCAATATCTCTTAACTCCTGATTCTGCCTCTAATATGTCCCTGGCTAGCCCTTTCAAGCCTGAGAAGGTGTCCTACCAACCTATCTCCCGCAATTATTATTGACTTCCTCTGTTCTCCTATTCTTTCGTTGATGATTTCTGACATCTTCCGTTTACTAGGAAATATTAATAACAATTTCTATTTGCCGTTTTATTTGAATTTTAACAGAATTAATCCAATGGAAAGAATGTCATAGAGGTTTGTTACACAATTATTAATTATTTCGCACCCAGATAATTATGCAATTTTGTTTTTCATTATTTTTGAAAAAACTACGATTATAATTTATCTAATTAACAGAAAATGAAACATTATTTGAAATACTCGTAAAAATGAATTGTTTTAGCGCTATTGTTGTTACATCAATACCCTTGTTATTAAACCCATTTTGACTCCCTTTAATAAACATGCCCTTTTTTGTTAACATTTATTTTTTTTTTCTTTTCAGATGTGGCAGTAGCTGTAGGTGATGAAATTAAACTTTTAAATTACACCGGTTCGTTATTAGGTACTGCTGTCGAACAATTCACCAAATTAAAAGCCTTATCATATGACTATGTCCGCCATCAGTTTTTGGTTAGTAATATGGAGAAACTAAACGACACCATTTTTAAAATACAATTAAACAACAAGCAAACTGCGATAGTACCTATTGTAAAAGACCTTCCAGATGATGTACAGGTAAATAATTACATTATCAATCGATTAATTAATCCATAAAAAAATAATGGAGATAATGCATTTATTCTACTTTTCCAAATATCAGAGTTAGTAAGCATTTTTGCTTCATTTTAGGGCATAGCTATCGATCCTTTAACAGATATTTTATATTGGACTGATAGTGATAATCGTAGTATAAATTATGTCTCATTGAAGCATTCTTCCGACAAATTGAACAATCTTCTTTATTTTAAAGATGAAATTCCTCATGATATAGCAGTTGACTCATGTAAAAGGTAACGTAATCGACAAAAATAATTTATAGATACTTAATAAATCGTAAAACAGAAATTGCATCGTTACATGATAAAGTTTATACGTTTTTACATTTTGGTAATCAAAAACACGTGAATTCTTGACTCGAGTCTATCAGATGTGACCTACGAGTTTCTATAGGTACATAGTTTCGATAAATCAATATAATCAATCAGATAATGTCAAGGAATTGGCACTATATATATATCTCATTTTATTGTTCTGTAAATGTTAAATATCTACTTGCTTTTACAGAACAATCTCGGTTTATCTAGCGATTTATCGATACCCATGGTGTGCTGATGAGAACTAACAAGTTCGAAATTGCGATACACATTTGGGAGGCTCGATAAATTGTTGACCAAAACTTTTTAATGTTTTTTTTATTAATTACGCTGCATTTGTACATCTATGTATACTATCATTAACTCACTATATTTGTTATGTAATGGAAGTAATTTGTTTTATTTTTGCTTCATTGGTAATTGTACAAAATTTTATGCGGTTTCTTAGAAATTAAACGCGTTTTTAAACCATAAAAAAGAACAATACGTGAGTTTATGGATGACAATGGCATTAAAATTTATCAATGGAATGCTTTATTATATTATTAACGGCTCAGTTAACAATATGAATTGAAACTGAATAGTAAATTGCGATCAGTATTGCTGTTTATGTTTAGTTTAACTTGCCTTCCTGTTGTCATAACAAATATGTATTGATGTGCCTATTAATTTTGCCGCAATAAAATTATAAATAAATGAATATTAATATTTTCCAAACGATAAATATTGCAAAATTTTTAACAATTAACATCACTTCATAGGTATTTATACTGGACCAACTTGAATATCATGAAACCTTCTGTAGCGAGAATATCGCTTAATACAATGAAACAAGAAGTTTTGGTGAGCGATGATCTTTTTAGTCCTACGGGGATAACAATAGATTACGAAAATGATAGAATTTATTGGGGAGACCTCAGACAAGGAATATACTTTCGTATAGAAAGTACCAAGATGGATGGTACAGAAAGGCAAATTTTGTTTGAAGGCACCCATCAGAAACCGTATGGAGTTGCCGTTGATTCGGATTACGTTTATTGGACGGATGTCATCAATAACGAATTAAATAGGAAAAGCAAACACGATGACAGTCCTCCAGAATGTATCCACAAGTTCGATGCGATTCCCCAAGGTGTTGTAGTACATGACACGGGTTTCGTTCAGCGCGAAGAATGCAAAGATGTGTATAATGCTATTGAAAATTTCAAAGGTACCACTACAGAATTTTTTCTTGCCAATGAGGAAAAAAATGAATCGAATGAGTGTTTGAAGCGCGGAGAATTTATAGATGGCGGATGTCAATGTCATAGAGGATACACTGGGACGAATTGCGAGATATCGTTGTGCTACAATTTTTGCGTGCATGGAGAATGTCATTTTACCTCATTAGCGTATCCTCAGTGCAAGTGTCCTCCAGGATTTATGGGAGCAAGATGCCAAAAAAATATTTGTGACGGATTCTGTTTGAACGATGGCAAGTGCAGTATTGCCGCCAATAGCACCTCAACCCCAATCTGTAAATGTACAAATGGTTTTTCAGGAATAAGGTGCCAAGAAAGTACCGAATTCTCTAAAATTTGCGAATTATATTGCAGCAGAAGACATGCCAGTTCCCTTTTGGATGAAGAAAGCGAAATGCTTTGCAAGTAAGTCGAATAAAATAAACGAAAAGAATAATTATACTTCATAAAATTTAGTTAGTGACTGATATAAAACATCCCACGTAATTTTATTTTCTTTATGAATCTCAAGTTTTAATTTTTGTAGGTGCCAGGATGGCAGCTTTAAAATTGTCGACAACTCGGTTAGAGTTCAAGAATCTGCGGAACAAACAAGTATATGGCAATATACTGAAAAGCCAGCGATCATAGTCTTGTCAGTTTGTATGGTAGTTATGTTCGTACTCATTATTGTTTTGGCTTCGTTCGTGTGCAAGTTACGGCGCCGTCCACGGATAAAAAAACGAATAATTGTTAACAAAAATGTAACACCACTCACATACCGGCCTCAAGCACCCGAACAGTGCGAGATCACGATAGAAAATTGTTGCAACATGAACGTCTGTGAAACGGTAAGTTTTCAAAAATTTATTCTTTTTAGTTGAATTAATTTACTTCTGAAATAATACCTACAGAACGATATTTTACTTATACTGCAAATCTGATACAAATCAGTAAAGGTATATATTTTTTTTCAGCCATGTTTTGAACCACCAAAGTTACGAGCTTTCCATTCAAAGAAAGAAGAGAAGAAGGAATTGCTAGGAAATATGGAAAACGGAGAAGACCTTTACTAATGCATACTTAATATCGTAAAAAACAAGGCTCAGGCTGTGACTATATATAATAACAAAAGTATTACGTTAAATATCGTTATTCCGTTTAAATTAATTAATTGAACCAGATTCTTCAAGATCGTTCAAATAAAAACGAATCAGTTAAGACTGATATATAGAAGGGTATCAAAAACTGAGAACATTTAACATCAGTTTTTAAAATCAAAATATAAAATAGAAAATTTTGTAATGTCTATTGTACGATTGTTCCCTGGTGGCACTTAGCCTAGGAATAATTTTACAGAATGATGACATGGTATAGACCGGATCATAATTATTGTTACCAGTAAGCGGAAAGCAATCTTTTGTGTGCAATCAATCCAAGATCTTTTATAATGGGATTCAGCTTCAAACATTGGTACTTATCAAACATTGTCAAATGTTCTATTTTGTTAGTTTGCTGTGTACTTTCCATGTGTGCAAGTAGTTTTTTTCTGTTAAATTATCTTATGAAAGAATAATCACTGCCACTTAAAAATTGTTTTCTTAAAAGCAATCTCGGTATAAAGCTTAAGACATAGGTAAGTTTCTAAGTTTTCAATCATCGGTCATAATGTACTTTTTTGTTGTGCAATTTTGTTCTATTCTTTTTTAATTTATTTTGATGCGGTTTGCTGCTTCAGAAGTAAATTAATCGCAACTTGGTTTAAAAAAGTTCCTTAATTAATTTATTTCTTCCGATTATTTTATTTTTCTAATGAATAAATAAACACGCAGAAAGAAATCTAATACATAGTGTATCATCATCTGCGTGACTATTATAAACCCATAGAATTAGGTTGCGTTGCTAATTAACTAATTTAATTATGATAATTATCTAGCGAAGTATTCTAAACTGTCTGTTCTCTTCGGTTGTGAGTAGATTTTAGTGTTGGTATAAAATACCAGCAGAATCCTGTTTCTTGTTTGCTCCTAACACACAACTTTGCCGAATATTCTGTTACAGTAAATATTTTTAAGTAACAAAAATTGTTGTTAAAAGTTACCTTAAGGAGCAAGTAATGTCAAAAATTAGACAGTGGTGCGTAAATAAATTTTTAATTTTTATCTTATTTTACCAAAGATTTCAACTTAGCACACGGATTTAATTACATATATGGACTAATTAATTGTTATTTTAAAATTATAATTTGTTCTTTTTATTCCTATCATTTTGTTGTTTTGGTACCTACAATAATTATGTACTATATGGTTTTCCTTGTAAATATATACGGTGTAGTTAATTGTGTGGGTACATTATCCACTAATTATTGTGATATTATTGTCCTATGGAAAGTAATTTTGTACTTAAAAGTTAAAAAAAATAAAAATTAAAAAACTTACAAACCTTTTTATTAATTTGGAGTCTCAATAATGCGAAAATCGCACAATGGAAACCCCGCATAATGTGACCAGCTTTGTGCTAGACGTTCATATGTTCGTGTAGCGTGAACAAACTGAATTTTCGGTTTTGGAAACGAATGCTCATTGGTCTTAAAAGTTATTGCGCCACTACTGTAAATCCCTGGTTTTGTATTTGATACATTCTTAGTTGTCTTTAACGTGTATGATGAATATGTTTAAAATTTTGGAAAAAATAATACATATTTTGTTCCTATTGTGTAAATAAATATGTCTATAACTGATTTCGCTGACAAAAAAGTATAAAATCAATCAAGAAATAATTTTTTCTAATAAGAAATATGTTACTTGAAATGAAACGCACAGTAGCTAGAAAAAGGTACAATTTAATCAAGACTCACCATCGTGTTGCCATCTTTAGTATAGATTACCTAACTTTCGTGGAACAAAACTTCGACGGTCTAAAAATCTGTAACAAAAGAACAGAAATTTACACATTAATTCACTCCTGAAAGGATAGATAGAACCTCGATTTAATTTTGAAAGAAAAAGGGGTGCATTTAAATTTTATTTATATAAGTTAATAAAAACATTGGTGACGCTCAAATGTCTTTACTCAAGAAAAGTATAATTTTCGATACTCAATTTTTTGATCTCCAAAAAAGTCTAGTTATTATTTTTACAGTAAAATAACATTCTAAATTTAATATGTCTAATAAATTCTACAATATTAAATATCCTATTCTTTAAATAAGATAATTCAATGCACCTATACCATAAGGTTTTTAGAAGAGGAACGCGGTTTTCCTTTCTTTATACGATATCACCACACATGTATGTATTATACATGCATCTAAATGAAGATAATTTCGTTTTGGCATCTACATTTTCAAAATTTATTGACCCCACCGAATTTGCAAAACATGAAGCATCAAATTTAATTTGAATGAGTAGGTTCGCTGTCTTTGCCCGAATTGGTTTGGTCAACTGCTTATTGTAATAAAACATGTGGGCTACCTATTAACTATTCAACGAGAAAAGAAAAGAGGTGCTAACTGCTGATTTATTCAACGAATATTCTATTATAAAGGACAGCCTGGAAGACGTATTTGGGTGGTTCACTGTACTACAAATTACAAATGTAGAATGTTCATTGGTGAAGGCAGAATTTGAAAAATGAAGTGATTTATTCTTTAATCGTATTTTGTGTTTTTACGAATTGTTTCAAACCATTTTTGGCATTCGTTATTCTTCAAACCAGCACCTTATGATACTGTAATAGTAATGTCTTACCCTTTTTTGCCAAAAAATTAAATGAGTACAAATTCTGAATATAAAGGTCTTAAAAGTTTTCAAGCCCTGACATTGATCCATGAATCGATCTGATAGATACAGAAACTGCAAATGGTGCACATGAGTAGGCATACAATAAGTATTTAAATACAGAATAGAAATACTTTTTTGATTTGTTGTTTCAAATGTACAAAACAAAATATATTTCCCTTTTGTATTTTAAATGCTAAATGCAAAATACATATTTTCAAAATACTTTTTTCAAATGAATACTTTTTTTTATAATACCTATTTAATTTTCTACATTCACTTAAGTATAATATGTTTTTTAAAAAAAACTTGCAGGCATTTTCTTATTTTTTAAATACTGGAGTTTTTCTAGACTGTTTTTCTGTTTGAAGTGATTGAGATATAGTTTTTCTGTTTTTATGTTATAATTTTTTCAGTCTAGCAACAAATAATTCTTGTATATGCTTCCGTATATACCTTTGTCACCTGTTTTAATTGGGAAAAAGACACTGATGCCAAAATAATTTGTTTACCGTGAAAGATCAGAGCCAAAATGGGGTTGCAAATAATTTTATTGATGTAAAATCAATATCAATCATTTTATATCAAAATATTTACAACCCCATTTTGTTTCCGATCTTTTACACATTGTAATAAGAGAAGTATATATGGAATCCATAGTTTCTTTAGGTTTGGGTTCATCTAATAAGTGAAGTTTTTCGAAACGTTTTCTAAGAATTTTGGATTATATACATTTATTAGCACACCACAATATCTCATGGTTTTTAGTTTTACACAGCTGGCGTATATCAATTCGATATCGTTTTGCGGGCTGTTTTGTCGTAATTCATAGAATTTCGTAGTTTCTTGCTAAAGGTACGATTAGTGGTGATTCGGCAGGTGCTGATATCAATTTGGAACTTCAAAATTCCGTGGATCATGACATTGAACTCGGAAAACAATATCGATCCAATATTTTAGATTATCAATTTCTAAGGAGTTTAGAGTTTTTTGGACTCTCTTCAATTAAAGAATTAGAAGGCATTCATGGAACGTCTCTATGTCTCCTATTTAAGCTTCTAATAAAAAACAAAATGCTTTTCTCAATAAAGTATTTAAATGCAAGATAAAAATAGGTATTTTTTATTTTGTATTTGCATTTGAAACGCAAGTATTTCAAATAAATCACATCTCTGCAGTTTACAGATCACACAAAGGAAAAAATATAACACTGTGTATATGCTCGTCAAATCAAAAAACAAAAATAAAGAGAGACAACTATAAGAGTCAAGGTATCATTTTAAAAGTTAAAAAAAGATTGTGGAATTCAATGAGAGATCGGTATATTTCTTGATTGTAACAAAAGCTTGGCTTTGCTTTTTTTTTTTTAATTTTAATGCCTCGGGTCAAAAAATTAGCAGACTGCACACACGGAGGCATGTGATACTACATAAGTACCTACATCATATTAAAACTGACGACAAGAAGTTTCGGGCTATATGTATGTACATGTAGCAACACTACGAGTAGTGTTTCGTTTGCCCATTGACTGCCGTTAGTTGGCCAACAGTCGAGATCAACATGAATGACTATGTATCTAGGTATGATTTACAAGAAGCTAATTGCTATGCTAAATGCGCGACAGTCAGGTACAACTGGCGCCTTCCAGTCGCTTGAAAACAATGCCTGAGACCTGTGAGACGTGACACTTCATAGAAACCGGTACCGGTATGTTGGCTACTCATTCACTCTATCCAGTCATACATGGACTTCTTGTCACTACCGCCGCATTAATCAATTTAATGCTTACGAAGCTGTGTAGTTACGGCACATATTTATGTATGTTTTGTACTATAAGTTGAGTTGTTGTGCAATACGTACCTGCATCTAAGTACTGTACAATTATTGAGAGATTACAGTCACTACATGTACATGAAACCAACATCCCAACAACACATTAGACTCATCCGTAACCCTGAAAATACAGTATAAGCCATGCCCAAGAACTGTAACTGTAACTCTAGAAATCAAAAGTAGAATAGAGCAAGCGAGAACATCATTGAAAGATATACAAAAAGTGTTAACCAAAACCTTTAAGAATGCGCTTGTTGCGTTACAATGTTTTCAGCATATTGTTCTACGGGATGGAAGGATGGATCCTCACAGAAGCAATGTGCAAAAAGATTGAGGCCCTCAAAATGTGGATCTACTGAAGAATGTTGTGGATATCATGGATGAAAGGGTGACGAATGAAGTTGTTCTACATCATATAAACAAAGAAAGAGAGGTATTCAATACCATAAAACAATGAAAGCTGAAATATTTTGTTCAAAATTCAAAATAGGAATTGCTCCATATAGTTATACAAGGAACAATAGAGGTAAAGTGTAATCCTGGTCGTCGAAGAACATCTTGGCCCAAAAATCTTCCCCAGTGGTACAGAGTGAGCACCACGGTACTGTTTAGGTTTGCTGCGGACAAATTAAAGATCATGCAACTGATTGCTGATGTTCTGAGGGGGGCATGGCACTTGAAGAAGAAGGAGAAGGGCACAACTGTATTGCCAACTGAACCATGAAGGGCTTAATTAGGGACATTCTAGAAGCAGAATAACACGTGTATTTTACTTACTTACTCTAATGGCGTCCTGAATAGGTGACATATTCTTACGACAAATACATACATACATATATTAGCAGCGATTTGATACAGGATGCAGCATCAATCGATCTAACTCATTGGCGATACTTAGTTTAAATTTCGAATATTTTCAGTGTAATATTGACTTTATTTGAAACTTTATAATACATGTAAGGATTTTAAATCCAACACTTCAAGAGGTTAGTTATATTTAGCATTACTAGTTCATTTAAATATTGTTAGTGGAGTGACCAGAAGAATATAAACAGTTCCTAAAGAGCAACTCTTTTTTTCCTCCTTCGAGTTTCGATCATACAAAATTTTGCCACGTATGTCATCATTTCAATGAATGCTTTAAAGCGATGCACGAAAGACTTATTATGTACACGGTAAAATTTAAAAAAATCGTTCACAACTATTCGTCTACCTACGTATAAAATGAATTCCTTGTACGTGGCCCCTAGAAAATTATCAGTTCTATTATTCATTAAGCATGAAGATTTCTTTTTCTTATTTGAAGTATGTACCTGCAGATCACTAATATTTAACTGTTTTTATTATGTCATCATCTAATAAAACACAAAGTCGTTTAAAACACCCTGTATAAAATAATGATGTGAAAAGCCCATGAAATCTCGATAAATAAATTTAAATTACTTTCCTCGGCATTTTAATAAGGATCCAATCGGTCGGCTTCCGAAGTCCGATCAAAAGACTCGGTCGTCAGAAAAAC